GTTCTGGAAATGCTAGATGAGGAACCACGGGGAACAGGTTCCCCGAGTGCTGATGTGAAAGAATGGTGTACCCGTGGCTGTATGGTAGCAAAGACTGATTGTTGATCAACACACACATAAATTGAACTCACTGCCAAACCTCTTGTAAATCTAATACATGAAGAACCAGGCTGCCTTTCTCTGACTGGTCACTGGTGGAGGTACCATGGACTTGGTTCTTTATCAGAAGCACCTGGTGTGTTCTCTAAAAAAATGTGGAGTTAGGAGCCTCATCTCCAATGATTCTGAATTCTTGACATTGGGGTGGAGGTGTTGGTAATGATGCTGATGGTCCCAGGGCCACACTATGAGAACAGTGGTGGAGTGGGCTCTGGGTTTGAGTGGACTTAGGTTCATGTCTTACTTTTACCGTCTAATGGTCATATGATCTAGCAAAGTTACTTATCATCTGTGAGCCTCAGTTTTCTCATCCTTTATGTGAGAATGATGAGTCCATCAAGGCCATTGTGAGGAGTCCCGTGAATATACATAAAGTACCTAGTTCTGTTTGGCGACATATTATGATGTTAGTTACCTATGATTAGAAATAAAGGGTCGGCTGAGATGAATGGATTACCTGAGCCTGCAGGTTCGAGACCCGCCTGGGCAGCGAGACCTCATCTCTACAATAAATCAAAAAATCAGCTGGGCGTGGTGGCGCGCGCCTGTAATTCCGGCTACTCGAAAGGCTGAGGTGGAAGGATCACCGGAGCCCGGCAGGTCGAGGCTGCGGTGGCCGGGAGCGGCCACTGCACTCCAGTCTGGGCGACAGAGTGAGACTCCAACACAAAAAAAAAAGAAATAAAGGGTCCCCATCCCTACTCTGAATCTCTGACAAAGTTGTCAGAGGGAGTATATAATTAACCCCCAGACTAAGGATTACATTTTATACTTTTTGTGTTTGTTTAACACAGTCTAGAACTATGTGGGTGGGATGTGTGGATGAAGGGGTCCCTTTTGTTCTGTTTCACACTGGGGTTTAATCATGGCACGGCGTGTGTAGTTTCAAGTCATGGGTCTACCTTGTGCTCCTTAGTGGGTCACTACTTGAGATTTTCCTTTCTCTTGTTTTCTCTTCTATTCTTCCAAAGAATCTTTTCCTCTACATGCTTGCATATGGACACACATACACAGCTGAGTATGTCCCCAGGAGCTGGGGCCTGAGGCCTAGATCAGGTCCGGTCCTTTCCTCTTAGGTTATTGAAATGTGGTGAAAGTTGTTTATCATCTTGCCTGCCAAGGCTCCGGGACTCTCCAGACTGTTGGCCTCTGCGTGTTGAGCCTGTAGGGAAATTCGGGCATTCATGTTCAGGAGATAATCTTAAGCAAGTTCTCCTTTCTCCTGTGTTCACACATGAAGACAGATTTCCCTGTGCACAGATAGTGATCCCTGTGAAACTTTGTTTTGGCCAATATGATCTTGATCTTCCTGGAAGACAGGCAAGCCAAGTTTTAAAAAATGTTTTATTTTTGTTTGTTTTTAATACTAGTACTGAAAAATAATACTTTGGTTTTGGCTCATGCTGCTGTCAAAACAAAGTGCTTCCTGTATCCAGGATATAAGCAGGTCTAACGAGTACCCAAGCATGTTACTGCTTTTAGTTTTCATGTCCCCTTTGTAACTTTTGAAGTGGAATAACTCTGCATTCTTTTCTTGCTAATCACTTAAAATTTTAATTGAAAGTTTTGCTTTTATAACGTGAGCTCTTTTGGCAAATGCATGAAGGTGTGTCTAATGTAATTCCAGTTTCGGAGGCAGTTTTTTAGTAAAAGAGGCTTTAATCTTCAATGCCTTTTACACTGGGCTATTTATTAGGTATTTTTAGCTTAGAAATTATAGTGAGCATGCTACCAAAAGGCGCATTTTTTCTCGTTTGGTATGTTTCCTCATTCTTGCCTTGGTAATTATCTTCAAGATAATTAGCCTTGGACTACAAAATAGATGTTGGGTCTATGTATTCTACTTATTATACATTAATCATTCTGTGTTCATTACCTGACAGAATATATAGGTGTATTTTAGGATTACAGCCAGACTCCTTGGTGTCTCTTCTGAAAGCCTCTTGAATCTTGTGTAAAAAAAATACGTGGGAACAGAGAAATCACTGAGATGGAAATTCTAAGTGCTTGGTGGCTATAGAAATCAGTAAAAAGCCTTTTTGTGTCCATTTTGAGTTACCAAAATCAAAACAGGGCTAAATTTGTAGTCTCTGCCTTTGAATATAGCTTTATTACAATTGGGATATATAAATGGTAGGTTAAAGTTCCTCATTCAAGAATTTGTGTATTTTCTAGGCTACTTTGTAAACTAAATATTTCTTTGACAGTAACCCCATGAGGGTTGGAGGGAAGGATAAAGGACAGGGTAGCTCCTCTTTCAGTTACTTCTATCTTTTTCAGTTATTCCCAATTCCTCTGCTACTTCTTGTGAATGCTTTTAAATGTGCCAAGCAATCCCAAACAGTCCAAACTTCCTTTGAAAACCTAGCTCTCTACCCCTTTGAAAAATTCAACACATTAGCTTCATTTAAGACAAAGAAGATAGCCAGAATTTTAATTATGCTTCAACTTTTGAGCTTAAAAATTTCATTTGGGTTGATATTTTTGAAGGTGTTTGCTCCCCCTACCCCTACCCCCAGTTATGGAAATGATATTGATACCCTTTTTAGAAGCCTTGGCAAATACAGAAATGTTTAAAGAGGAAGAAGAAAAAAGTCACCCATCATCTCCCCCTCCAAGATTCCAGCCCCTAATTTCAGAGTTGCTGCTTGTCGCATGCCTCACCCACATACCAGCTTGCCTGCTGCCTGGTGAGCCCTGAGGGAAAGTGTCCTTCACCCGGTGTCACCGCTGCCCTCTGCCACTGTACATAGGTTTTTTTTTTTCTACTGGATTCTGGGCTCCTTGAGGGAAGATGGCTGCCCCCGTTTTTTTTTTCTTTTTTGAGTCGGGGTCTCACTCTGTCACCCAGGCTGGAGTGCAGTGGCATGACCACAGCTGCTGCAGCCTTGACCTACTGAGCTCAGGCGATCCTTTTGCCTCAACCTTCCATATAGCTGGAACCACAGGCACGTCACCATGCCTGGCTAATTTTTTTATTTATTACAGAGATGAGGTCTTGCCAAGTTGCCCAGTCAGGTTGGTCTTGAATCCCTGGGTTCAGGCAATCCTCTTGCCTCTGCCTCCTGAAGTGCTAGGATTACAGGTGTGAGCCACTTTGCCCGGTTCTTAATTTTTTTCTTTTCTTTTTCTATTATATATTGACAAATTATAGTTGTATATATTTATGGGATACAAAGTATTCTTATGATTTTTGAATATAATGAGGAATGGTTGCATCAAGCTAATTGACATATTTATCACCTCAAATACTTAACATTTTTGTGATGGAAATATTTGAAATTTACTCTTAGTGATATTGACATGTATAGTACTCAGTTATTTGCTATATTTACCATGCTGTGCAATTAATCTAAAAAAAATCCAACTAATTTCTCCTGTCTGAGACTCTGTCCCCTTTGAGTATTGTTTTCCCACAGTGCCCGCAGGTCCCAGCTCTGGTAACTGCCATTCTACTCTGTTTCCATGAGTTCATTGTTTTAGATTTTACATACCATAATTGAGACATGTGGTATTTGTCTTTCTGTGCTTTGCTTATTTAACTTAGCATGTGTAATGTTCTCCAGTTCTGTCTTTATTGCAAATTGCCGTAATTTGTCTATCCCTAGAAACAGGTGTAATGTAAGTATTGGAAATGTGATTAAGTTTAAGCTAAGTTCTATGCATTTTTAGGTTCACATTACTTAATTGCATAAAGCCAACGTTGTGTGTGCTATATGATCAGTATTTTTTTTTTAAAAGTCTAAGGATATTTTAAAGAGCATTTTATACTTTGCATGTGTCATGTGTAATACATAGACATGGTAAAACATGAATACAGCCCAGAGGGTGATATACAGTGAAAAGTGGGTAGGTGTTCCTTTCATCTCTTCCAGGCCTGCACTTCGCTTCCAAGGAGGAAACCACCCTTTTATTACTTTGTATCTTTCCAGTCTGTGTATATATAAGCATTAATATAGAATATCTTTTTAAAAACCTGTCTTTGGATGTAGCGCTGCAGTGGGCATGTGAAAGATACTGTTCTTTTGGAAGTCACTCCGGCAGTATCTGTTAAAATTATTTTCAGTTCTGGCATTCTGTTTTATAATTAGAAATACCAGTGCATTAAAATATAAATTGATGAACTTTTTATCAATAATGCATTTTTGTGGTGGCAAAAGAAAAAAAAAAAAAGAGGAAATAAAGCAAATGCCTATCAGTGAATTGTTGAATAAATTGTGGTACAGGCATGCTATGGCTATGATGCAGCTCATACAAAGATGGGGTAGAGCTTTATTAATTATTTTACACAGAGGAATTTTATTGATATATTTTTATATAAGAAAGAAAGATGCAGATACAATTGTATATTACGTTTTTACGTAACTGGTAGATTCTGTATGTAACCATGTGTGCGCGAGTGTTTATATATGATGTTATGAACACGGAGAAAGATATGGGAGAGGAGAGTTAAGTAAAAACTGCTTTCTAAATTAGAGTGTTTTAATGTGCCCTTGAATCTTTCCTGGAACAGGCAGTGAAGTGATTTGCTGAATCTTTTTCCTTTCATTTCCAGGAAATGGCAATGGGTGCTTAACCTCAATTAATTTCATTTCATAAATGCTTTTTTTTATTTTGGGGTGTGAGCCATTCAGGGTACATACAGGCTTGTGTAGAGCAGCTAAATACTTTGACAAAGCAAATGCATCTTGGATTTCAAGTTGCCAGGGGTGCATCGAGCTCATCGTAGCAGGACAGTGGGGAACTTGCACAATTAACTGCACTGCAGGCTGAGAGACTGGAGACCCATGTGGGGGATGATCAGAGGCTAGATTCAAGCTCTGTGGGGTCAGAAACAAGACATGCTAAGAGCTGTGGAAGAGAGAGTGGCAGTGAAGGGTCGGATGATGACTGGAGTGTCTTGTCAGAATGGTGAGTTAAGTGCAGAGTGATGCAATGATGAAGGTTAAAAGTGGAGAGGCATTTTGGAGAAATGAAGTTTAGATAACTTTGCCAGGTTTGCATCCTAATACAGTCCTTTATTGCTTGTCACGTATCTTATTATTCTTAGATTTATGCTTCTGGCAGGTAGAACTAGGAAGGAGAAGGAGGTGAATGACATTCAAAGGACCTTGAAATTACTTGAAGAAGACATTGTATCCCTCAGATCTTACTTTCTCTTCAGCAAAGTGCTTAACATTTGCTAAGTAAACATATAGTAAGCCCTGGGGTAATGTCTCAACTGATATTAGCAGAATCCTAAATTATTTAGTCTTGGATTGAGAAGGATGTTGTCTGCTCCGATATCTGTAAAGGAGTTGGAAACCTCCACTTTGTGGACCGAAGCAATGTAAAACCAAATGAGAAGGAAGAGGGCACCACAGAGGGTCTATGTGTATATGAAGCATGTATACTGCCATCCTTTCTGCCCATGAGCTCACCCTATCCCCCTTTTATATAAACTCATCTTCAGTTAAAGATTTTTCTAGTTCATTTATTTTGTCTGGTTACATTCCTGTGAAGATGTTACATTTCACCAAAGCCCTTTTAGAAATGCACTACCCCAAATGAGATTTATCAGCCAGGGCAGAAAACCACCACCTCTCTCATCCTGGGTATAACATTTTATGAATGCAGTCCTAGAGCATATGAATGTATATATATAACTGTTGGATTCATGTTGAGCTTATAGTTTAGTTTGTATTTACAGTTTGATCATGTACCTCTTAGACTTACTTTGAGCTTTTTTTTTTTGAGTTGGAGTCTCACTCTGTCACCCAGACTGGAGTACAGGGGCCACTCCCGACCACTGCAGCCTTGACCTGCTGGGCTCCAGTGATTCTTCCGCCTCAGCCTTCCAAGTAGCTGGAACTACAGGCGCGCGCTCCCACGCCCGGCTGATTTTTGATTTATTGTAGAGACGAGGTCTCGCCAAGTTGCCCAGGCAGGTCTCGAACCCGCGGGTTCAGGCAATCCACTCACCTCAGCCTCCCAAAGTGCGGGATTATAGCCTGAGCCACTGAGCCCGGCTTACTTTGAGTTTATAGTCAAATCTATTCTGGTATGTTCACTCATGCTGGCATTCGGCTGGGTCTCCATGATTCTATACAGAATTTTAGTTTTTTGGTGCTAAATGCAAGACTTTACCTTTCTTGGGTTCTACTTTAATCTCATTAGATTAGCACATTAGCTTTAGTGCAGCTACCAAGTGACCTCCTAGTTTCAGGACCCCTAATAATGAAACAAACATGTCATCAGATGAAAAGAAAGTAGGAACTGGAGACTAAAGTTAGACTTCTATTCTGCTATTTGCCAGCTGTTTGACCTCTAGCAAATTACTGAACCTCTTTGAACTTCCATCCCCATGTGCTTTCCTAGACACAAAGTGGAAAAATCTCTACCCCACAGGCTTGTTCAGAGGGAAAGACCAGGCAGTGTGTGTAGGGCCTGTAGGATGGAGTTTTGCACATGGTCAAGGCCAGTGACTCAGATTCATTAGTTAAAATATTGAGCAGTGTTCAGTCCTGCGTCATACCCCCATCGTCTTTCCAACAACAGATCATGAGCCTACTGATCAGTTTTCTGTGAATTGACTTTGATTGTTCAACCAGTTTTGAATTCACCCTTCATTTTATCCTTCAGCCCATTTTGTTCAGGATACCATAACAAGGGTTATCACATATCCTAGTGAATTCCAGGAACTCTATTTAAGGACATAGCAAATTACTTGTGATGTGATATTATATGAAAAAGTAAGACACTGAAGTATATATGTAGTAGAATCAAAACTTGGTAAAACATTTTTAAAAAAAGTAAAGTAGAAGGACTGGGCACAGAAGCTCACACCTGTAATCCCAGCATTTTGGGAGGTCAAGGAAGGAGGATCGCTTAAGGCTAGGAGTTCGAGACTAGTCTCATCAACTTAGTGTGAACCTGTCTTTATAAAAAAATTAGAAAAAAGTTAGTTGGATGTGGTGGTGTGTGCCTGTAGTTTCAACTACTTGTGGCTGAGGCTGGAAAATCCATTGTGCCCTGGAGTTCGAGGCTTCAGTGAACCATGATCGTATCACTGCACTCCAGTCTGGGCAACAGAACAAGACTCTGTATCTTAAAAGAAAAAAACCATACTAGAATATCAACAATTACTGTGGGGGCACTATGGGCTCCTCCCCTTTGTATCCCACAGTGCCAACTGCATGAAAGTGTCTTAAGAACCTGTTGACCAGTTCCTTCTTCAGTAACAGAGCTTGTTTTCTTCTTATTATTGTATTTCAGAGAGCACTTATGAATATGTCACCTATACCGCTCTTTCTTTGAACAATTGAAAGTAAAAAATATTTTTTCCTTTATTTTATGCCTGTTGTAATATGCACAGTTCACTGTTTAGCTTTTCCTGAAGAAAGCATTTGTGTTAATGCCATATGTCTTTTGAACACCCCGTGGGTTCCTGTGTGTCTGCCTTGGGCCCTGAGAAATTTGCCTTGCTTGCTTTTTTTCTGTAATGACAGAGACTTTCCTGGGCCCTGTTATAGGCACTTAGCCTTCCAGATCCCTTTCTCCATTAAAATAAATATATTTCAAGTCATGTTTTATGACTTCACTAGACAAATATCCAGGTTAGATTCATTATTGGATATTCATTATTATCATATCTATTTTTTCTTTTGATTTTAAAAGAAATTGAAACATTTTTGAGGGCCCCAACACGTTATGGACCCTCTGCACTGTGTCCCCTATGCCTAATGGCTAAGTGGCCTGTCTCCGGGACTCTGCTGTCACAGCGATCCCACGCTACATGTTGAAGTCCGCATGATTTACAGTGGCAGCGCTTATCTAGTTTGCATCTTCATTAACTCTTAGAGTATTGGGTGGTCACAGTTATCGTCTGAGAAGTAACTGCTTGCTTTTCTTTTCCCAGTATGTTCTTTCCTCCTTCCCAGGTTATTGTTCTGTGGTAGCACTTCTAGATTCTTAGAGCTCCTGCCCTGTGAAAGATGACTCTAAGGGGAGATTTTTTTTTTTCAGTAATTGCTTTGGACCATGTTACAGATGCAACACTGTGAGACTGACTTTGGGAAGGACACGAAGGTTAATGCTTTGCTTTCTAATGCTAGTAAATGCTAGGATTTTTTTTTCTCTTCCTCCTTCTCCTTTTTTTTTTTTTTTTTTTTTAAAGTGTGGTGAGGTTGTTATATCCTTTTGCTTTTTGAATGGGGCTAGTCAAAAGTATTTATGCATTGCCATTGATGATTTTGAAATAAAACTTGGTAAAGAAATTATAATTACTGCACTTGTCATATGTTGAGAGATAGGTCCTTTTTGTTCTTACCCCAGCTGTGTATTTCTAGGTCCTATAAGAACAGTTCATCCTGGTTAAAGTGTCAGGTGGCTACTGAGGAGCACAGATCCTTGACAAGAAGAGCATAGCAATCGAGGGAGAAAAGTGGCAGAGGAGATGGGAAGGATACAGCAATAGCAAAGGCTCAGGTGCCAGAGAGAGACCAAAGAACATGGTTTAAACTTGCCTGTGTAGTGTTTAACCAGATGGGCAACTCTAAAATGAAGGTCCACATGAAGCCAGAGAAAGTGCACTTTAATGAAGTACATCCTGGGAATGGAGGAGGTCAGGGAGAAACAAGATGAGGTTTATTCCATCAGTGTTGCCATAGTCTCACCCAGGTGGGTAGCTTTAGCATTTTGAGAGCCAGGAAAGTTGTTGGCATTTCCATTATCTTCATAAGTAAGTGACTTGGAGCAATGGAAGCATGTCTTACTGCAGGCTGCTGGGGAGGGCACGTTTCCAGTGCTCATAGATTTGCCAGGCAGTAGGCCAGGGCCTACTAGATGTGTGGACAGTGAAGGGTTGGTTCACATTTTGACTGTGGTTTGCCCAGGATTAGCAGACAAATGGCTACCTCATCTGTCTCTGGCAAAGAATGGAAATCTTACGGACTGTAACTAGGTTTTCTCTCACTCCATTTTTTCCATTCCAGGTCCTGGTGGAATACGCTCCTTCCTAATGTGAGGGAAGAATGTCTACACCAATAATTCATTCTCTGTGACTTCTTGCGGACATTTAACCCACACATGTATTCTTGAAAGATGAAGGCATATTTGCAAAGAGTGAGAGAGGTGGAACCCCATTAAGGTGTGGACCCTCCTGTGTCCTGGAGAGGACTGTTAGAGCAAACACTATCATAACATTGTCATATTTCTGACTCTTCCAGCTTAGACATCACATAGACACAAAAAATAACTGGATGTTTGGACACATCTTCCAAGTTTAAGCTTTCACGGTTTTCCAAATTTTCCAGGTCCTCTGATCCTTACTGTAATGCCAAAGTTTGAGCTTTGGCTAGCCTGCTCTGGGTCGGAGGCATCACAACTGTTCACTTGGACATGTCATTACCACTTATAATGCTGTTCTCATCATGGGTTTAAAAAAAATTTTTAATTTTATAGTTGTGGGGTACAGTTCAGGGTTAGGGATACGAATGTTCATTGTGTAGATACCCTTGTTGATGAGGGTGTGCCCTCCCCTTCCCTGGCAGTTTCCCTCAACTGCCAACTCCACTTCGTTCGACTGCCAGCTCCCCCACCCCCGGCAGTTTCCCACTACTGCCAATCCTTTTCTTACAGTATTATGATTATCGTGAATTTTTAAATTTAAAAACAAAACAAGCTGCTATGAGCATGGACAGTATTGACAGGAATTAATTACAATTCCATATTTAAAGGTTCTTTGTAACTCATGAGGGGAGGACATGAATTCTCTTATAAAGAATGTAGTATATTGTAACATATGTCCTCGTGGAAAAGCTGAGCTGATGATAACTGTCTTGCAAAAGCTTTTTTTCTCTTCTAATACCCATGAAAAGTAGTGCTGTGGTTTTTGCTACCTGACTTGGTCAATGCTTCTTTTATTTTTCTTC